ACCTACGGATAAACCACCAGCCAAATCTAACACGCCTATTTCGACTTAGCCGCCGTAGGTTACGCAAGAGTTGGATTAGTTTAGCGACAGACTCGCCGATTTCCGGAATCACAATATGAAAAATAAACCGATTAAAAACTCTATTTAAGACTAAAACATAGAATAATAATAATAAATAATAACATAATATATTAAGGCTTAACAATAATGAAAGAATAAATATGAAAGAAAAAATTATCCAGTATCGCTAAAGAGAACTTTATAACTCACTGGCAATAATATTTAGAGTATTGGATAGGTATATATGAAAATTTGTCAGGGAACAGTTGTCGATAAAGTGGTCTCGGGAAATCGTAAAATCTGACATTTGGAAGACAATTTATCCAAAGTACTAGTAAAGCTAAAGCGGATTTTCCCGTTCGAGTACAAGAACAGCTTGAAAAGTACAGCTCTTGGAACCGAACTTTAACGACGTGCACTTAGTGAACAATAAGAAAAAGTGCATTTATGGAGGTCATGTATATGTTTGGGCCCAAATTTGAACGTGCATTTAGTGAGGGTGTACACCTATAGAGGGTGCACTTATAGTAGTTTCACTGTATTTGGGAAACTAATTTACATCAACGGCACCACTTACAGATACAGTCTAACCTCTTTATAGTCATGTCCTTGGTTCCAAAAATTTTGTGGTTAAATTTTATATGTTTTATATAAGTTTGTTTTAAAAAACAGTCTGATTAGGTCATGCAAAATCAATTAATTGATTTTCATAACCCGGCCGGGTCAAAATTTGAAAACTTGTAAAAAACATTTTTATGTTTTAATAATCGGGTGGATTTTTTTAAAAAACATTTTATATATGAATTTTTTTAAAAAAAAAGCCGGCCGGGTCTGTTTACGTAAAAGTTTCATGTTATGAAAATCAATATATTAAATTTGTGGCTTATAAGTATATGTGACTATATTGAGAATGACTGTAAGGAGGGCAGACTGTACTATTTGACTAAGAGATGGTAGTAGGATCACAAAAAGCGAGTATTCACCTGGAGACTTCCGAAAGACAACAATATCATGAAAATAGTGGATGAACACCTTCAAGTAAAATATGGTGTAACGAATTTAAAAAAGTAACTTGCAAATGCAATGGGAATAGAAGAAAATCAAAAGCAAAAATGGTTTAGATATTGGAAGTCTGTATAAAAAACGAACGTGTATTATGAATATTACCGCTCCTATAAAATGCACTTACTGCTTAATCAATTCCAATATGGATGAATCACAAGAAAACAAAATATGAATACAAATATTTACCAAAGGATTGAATTAACAAAAATACAAGATGCATCTTCCAATGATGAACTAATTAAAAGTTATTGTAATTTAGTTATACCATCGATAAACTTTATAATAACATTGCATAATGATCCAAATTGTCTAGAAATGAGAACTCTCCAAAGGTCACTTATAAATGGTCTATTCCTATTGCATCGAATGTTCAACCGAATTCTTTGGACTCTTCTACTCTAGAAAATTCAGATGGCATCGTAATGGAATAAGAAACACAAATTTTTGGTGAGAAGATTAAGAACATATCACTATTTTATATTCGAGCCGAATCAAATGTTATGATAAATAATGCAATTGAAACTGTCTTTAATATTGTTGGGTCTTTGACTTTCTGGGAAACCTGGATGAAGAAAGAATAAGTGCGTTTATACCTTGGTCACTATATCAAGATCGCAGGGTATGTAATAGCTGTATTCTGGGCGGTTAGGTATAAGCGAAAAATTTACTAGTAAAGTATAACTACAGTCTCAGCTAATTACGCAGTAAATTTTCTCTTACTTAACTAATCAGGATATAATTGATTATCCCTTGCTATTCACGTAACATAACTTTCACGCATTTATTTCAGAGCGAAACCTTTATTTTATGCATTAAAGATTAAATAGGATAATACAATACTTATACTCAATCACCTAGATTAAATAGATACATGCTAGTAGAAATAAGTACATGAAAAAAAGTTACGTAGATGGAATAATTAGAAATATGAAAAAAAATCAGAATGATCAACCATTTTTTGTAATCAAATATGTTTATTGTTATTCATCCTAATAATATAGTTATTGGATGTGAAGCAGCCAATAATGTGAGTTACTCTCTTCAATCCTGTTGTCTACACTCATAAGCACTATACATGTACTGCCTAGTGTTAATTTAATATTCATTTTTTAGTGCATGTTAACAAGGGTCAAAAGATCGAAAAGAAAGGGTATACACGTCACCAATCATAATCGATATATAATCGACAAAAAAATCTTTATCCTCTTTCAACACAATAGCCTTAGACTAACAAATTTCCGACCCAACCCTTCCCACCACACATGATAGCCTCCTAACATGTTTCATGTAGACAGAAACTAGCGATGCTGTCCAAACCTGATCAAAGTGCTAATAATATTTCTACCTAATTTGGGATTGGTACCAACACTTATCGTAATTTATAACCCAATCCCAAAATTCAACCAATCAACGCCATTCAAAACTTTGTATTATAATCCTCTTTTCTCTAGTAGGACTTCCTAATCAACAAGTGAATACATAAGAGATATAATTTTATCTGAATATTTATTATTTTTTTAGTTACTGTGTAAAGACACAGAATCACTACAATAGTGGTCAATTTTCTAGTTTTCATTTCTAGCCTATATACAAATTTCACATTAAAGTCTTATCATCTTAAAATAATTTAATATGCAACTCGTTTAAAAATTCTCTTTTAATAAATGAATTAGCAACTATAAATGTATTATAATTATGAAATAAACTTCAATAAAATTTATATTATTGTTTTAAAGTTATCAAGAATAGTATATAAGTAACTACTACATATATATAATGTTACTGGTTTTTTTTGTTTTATTATAACAGTAATTAAAGATCTTGTAATAAAACAGAATTCATTTAAAAAGTTTTTTGAAATATTTTAGCATGATGAAAATAGAATTAATGTTGAAAAATGAAAAACAGAAACAAGTTTCAAAATATAACAGTATATAAAAATGAATATATTAGATCTGCTATATGAAATGAATTTGATATTAGAGAGTCTGATGAAAATAAATATTATAGAGCAAAGTGTCAATACTGTATTAGAGAAAAATGGTAGCATAAAAGACCTTTAGTGATGCAATTTCACTTAGCTTTATATTACAAAGGTGAAGTTTCTAATCAAATAAGACATTATTGATTGATTCATGTTACCAAATGAATGATAAAATAAAAAATACTAATAATAGTGACAATAAAAATATAACATTATACCTTTAATACATCTACTATTGATCCTATTATATTTATTAAAAACTGGTTATTTTATTTTATTTTATTTTTTTTGGTATTAAGATGACCTCTTAGGTCTTTTGATTTTATTTAATGATAATAAATATGGTTTAGTGAACCACTACAGGAAGAGCATACAATTGGTTATATATGTAACCTTTCTATATAACCTATTTAAGGAGTTCATCTAAAGGTTTCCTACCAATTGTTATACCTAATACTTCTGCTTAGGTATTTTACTTTAAACCCTCTAAACCTACAACCTGTTAACTTTACTGGATCATATTTGATGTCTAGATTATCATCTCAATCTTAGAACTATTTTATCTTCGAAGTAAACCTCTCAGAGCCTTTTGTATTTATTTTTACAGTTGATCTAGATATTACTATGCCAGAATCAACACTTGCAGTCAAGGCTTAACTATTAAACTATTATGTCTTTGTAGAGTTTACTTAGATCTCAGCATCTACTTCACAGCATAACCTCAATACTTTAGTATATTCATGTTTTTTTATCTGTTTTTTTTACCAAACTTTCAATTCAGATAGCCTATATAGGACTATGATCAGTCTATCAGTATATCAGATTAGCCTAATATTCTTTTCCTTTAGTTTGTTCTAACAGCCTAGTTAATAATACCTCTGAAACTCCAACCTAAAGGTTTTTACCTATTTGATTACTACAACTGAGTATTATGACCTTGATATATGTTTCTTTAGATTAGCCTTTATAGTAGAGCTATTAAAGATCTAGCTACTTCTCTACTTAGATCTTTCTAAATAGACTTCTTGTTACTTAATTTCAACAAATTTACACAGCTACAAGAACTTATTTAGTGTTTGCACTATCTAATTTGTCAGTTTGCATTCTTTTATATAATTTCAATATTGTACAGATGCCCCATGATCTGCTAGTCATGCTGGTATAACTGTTATTACAGGTATCCTAATCTAATTATTAGTAACAGTTGTCATGATATAAATATTATATAGGTAATAATCCAAATATTTATTATTGATAAGATTTGAATATCTAATCTATCACTTGAGAGGTTGATAACTTGATTATTTTACTAGGTTATCACATCTCAAAACTAGTTATTTTTAAACTATTTACTTACTAATTATATTTACTAAATGTTAAGACTATTATTTTAGATTTCCTTTAATCTTTCTATAATTTTTAAATATTAATGGTGAGACCATGCCTCTATCTTTATTGAATATAATCTTTCTATATTTAAAATTAATTTGAAATAATTAATAATAGTATTATATAAAAATAAAAGTGTAATATCATATTGGGTGTCTTAAAATAAGTAATACAAATGTAATTTAGAAATCTTTAATATAAATTTTTTTATTAATTAATAAAATTTCTACTTTGTTATTTCAAAAAAAAAGTATATCATTATCTTTTTCAAAAAATCTAAAGTTTTATAGTTAAATTTTAAATTTATTAAACTAATATTAAATAAAAAAGTAATATAATTAATAAAACATTTATATATTATAGAATCTTATTTACTTTAATAAATAACTTATTTTTTAAAAATCTTTTTAAGTTAGTTAAACTAAAATATACTTTTTTTAAAGAACTATACTAGTAAAACTAATTCTTAATAAAGAACTATTTATATAATAATACAAATAGATAATTTATTTAAAATAAACAATATTTAATTTTAAATAAAAATTTTTTTAATATTTATATTAATTTTTTTTTTAAATATTAAAATAAGTACTTGCAACTTAGAATTTTATTGATAATATATTCAGCTAATAGTTACATTACAACCACAAGAAGCAATTATAGAAAGAGTATATAACTAGTTATTTGTACAACTTTAATCATTGTCTAATTTAAGTAGTTCATCTAAAGATTCTATACTAGCTGTTATATCTGAAACCTGCTTAAAAGTTTTTTATTTTAAACATTCTAGTTCTTATATTTATCCAATCTACTTATATCTACCAAGATATTCTAATTGATATTAATACAAATATACTATAGTCACTAAGTTTTTAAAATAGTTACTCATATAAAAACTTTTAATCTTGTATTTAATTTTCTAAAATCTTTTGTATATTATTCTTATAGCTAACTTAGTAATACTATAGCCAAGACTAACACTTGCAGTTAGAATATACTATTAAACTGCTATGCTCTGTAAAGTTCACCTCAACCTTAGTATTTACTTTACAACATATCTCTATTACTTTAGTATTCAAATTAAGTTTTATCAAGCTCTTAGTTCAAATAGTTTGAAAAGATAAATAAACCATATCCTTGATTTATATATTTTCTAAAATATAATCTTTTCTTCTAGAACAGATCTTGGTAGCCTAGTTGGTTGCAATAGTCTCTTTTTAAAAACTAACTTGTCTTTACTTAGTTTTACAGATTCTAGATTATTTTATAAGCTAGTTTTTACAATAGTACTATTGAAAGTTCAGATTACCTCTTTACTTAGATCTTCCAAGTAAGCTTCTGTCTTTTTGATTCTTGTGATTTATATAATCATAAAACTTATTATAGGTTTATACTACTTGATACTGATTTGTGTTTCTTTATACAAGATTGTATAAATGCCATATAATCTTTCAGTTATGTTGGTATAATACAGGTATAATACAGATAACAAATATCTGATCTTAACTAATTTTAGAAAACAGTTAATTATAATATAAAAAGAATTGCAAATTTTTACTAATACTGGAATTTAAACTCTAGACTTGTTACTTGAAAGTTAACAACTTAATATTTATATTAATTAATTATAAACTATAATACTATTATATAATAAAGTTATCAAATAATTAACTAAAATAATTTATTCATTTTATTAATAAATTTAATAATTTATTATTAAATATAATATTTATAAATAGTACTTAATAGATAGTTAAATTTAATAAATAACTTATTATATAACTTTATTATATTTATATCTAAAAGAAAAAAATATTTATATTCATTTTTGAATTTTTTATAAGTAGCACAAATTGGTAAATTTTTTGTTTTTAAAATTTTAAAAATTATAAATAAAGTTAGTTTTAATAAATTTATAACTTATATAACAAATAATAAAAGCAATTATTTATATTGTCTATAAAGATATTATATATAATTATTTACATATTTAAAATATTAAATATATTACATATATGTTAAATCTTATATCAAATAATATAATAAAAAAGGGGTGTG